CTTTTTTTTTTTTTTTTTTTTTTTCTGCATTGGCCATTTTAGTATTCATGTCTCCTGTACTTTTTCTAATAAGTTAAGAATGAAACAGGAGACTGTGTGCAGGAGTGAGAGGTGTAAGAAAAGCAGGGCTGTAAAATAAAATGAACAAAAGTGCGTCTCAACTTCCCTTTTATTATTTACAGGCAGGAGAACAACAATGCCCAATTTTGTTGTTATTACTGAACACTTCACATTGACAAAAGGGCTTTGCAGTCATTTTTACATGTTATTTCTCAGTGCCTTTTCTGATAGAGCCTGGAGAGCTCTGTCATTATTCTTAAAGATCAGCTCTATCATCTTATATTAACTGATTGCTCCAGAAAGGAAAATAAAATACACTCTGTGCCCGCATGTTACCCAGTCTTATGTTCCTTTTGCCACTTGGGTGGAACAAACAACTGCTTGGCTGATTGTTTGGACTGTGTTTCTTTGAGTTACACACACTCATCCCCCCTTACTTCTACTCTATTCAGTTTATTACTACTTGAGTGTGCCCCGCATGCAGTATTTCAAAAATCCTTTAAATTCTTCTCTATTATAGGATGGGACCAATCGCAGGACTCCAGAAAGGGTTCCCCAGTGTCTGCCTGTGAATGGTGTGCTGGGCCCAGTGAGAAATGTTTGCTTGAGCTGAGTGTGCAAAGGATACTGAGGTTCAGAAGTTCTAGCTGACCTCAGTCTCAGACACCTGTTAATTCACTTGTGAGTCTGTAGGAAGATATTCAGTAAATAAGCAGATCCCACGTGAGGAGACTGTCTCCTGCCTTGAGGATGTCTCCTGTCATCCTCATCTTCGAGAATGACAGTAAATTCCTGTTGTTTCATCAGATTTGGGGCAAATTTAGATATTTTCATATTCACATAAGAAATATTTTTTATCTATTATTACATGGTCCAAAATATTATAGAAATCTGTCAGTTACTGTATATTCAAATTTGGCCAAGTAAAATATCCTAATGTAAAAATATAAACCACCAACAAAAATATATCCAATTCTTTAGCAGACACAAAAAATATGTCCTCACTTGGGGCCATAGAAACATGCATGGAACAGGAAATAAACTCCATTTTTTAAAGGTACAAATTCCAGGGAAATTAATGTAAGTAGAGTGGACATTTACCTTAAAGCTTTGAATAGGTCTAAGCATAGAGGAAGGGTTCAAGATCTTAAAATGTGTTCCTATTATGAGAACTTTTCTACATTTATGCGTTAATTCCTATGTCATCGGATGAGGTGACTCAATGAATGTCCATATATTATTACTTCTTAGGCCGCAGATTATTCCATCTAACATACAAAAACTATGGAAAATAAACCTACTCTGGAGCAATGGGGATTGAATGTCATACTGTCACAGTGTTATTATTATTCCCCTTTACAGGCAGAGCTTGTGTTGACTAATGCCTCTGAAGTATACACAGTCCTTGTGCTAATAGTAGCAGTATTGTTACAATAATAGCAATAATACCTGATAGTGTATGCTGTATGTGCAAATGACCAACAAAATGGAGAAATTGTGAGCCAGAATATTTATAAGACCGTCTGACCTGCTCAAAGTCAGAGATCTGATCATGAACCAGGATTTGAAGTTCATGCTTTCTTACTACGTTCTTCTAAATCAGGATTTATCTCAGGCAATGTGAAACTTTAAATTAGGTTACCACATGGCCTAGTCTCTCATCATGGTCCTGGAATAACTAATAGACCCCCTTTCACTTGCAGAAGTGTCCCATTTTGGGCTTCTTACTCCAAATCAGTTTTAGGATCAATCTATTTCTGAGCAAGGTTTAAAACAGACACCAGACTTTCTGTAGGTATTGTTCGTGATGCTTTAATTAATCTTTTTGCCTTTACTATAGGGTTTCAAATAAGTAGCAATTTGGAAATAGCTTGATGTATCTGGAAAAAACAGGTGCATTTGTGAACACAGAGTATTTATTAGTTGAGTCTAATGCTTCTCTGTTCCTTATGCTCTGATTTTTGGTTCTCCCTCTCTCTCCCTCCCTCCCTCCCTCTCCCTCTCTCTGACAAACTTTTATCCTTTCTTTTTTCTCTCTCCTCATTCTAGTCCCCATATATCATGTTTTTCTTTTGACTAAATAATTGGATATTTGGTTTCATTTTACTTTTGGCTTTTGATGCATCTTTGAAATATATCTTGATTATTCACTCAGATACTTAAACCACTATTGGTGTAATTTTCACCAAAAAGAGAATAAAAACCAGTTTAAGACGTCTTTAACTCATTTGTCTTTCTCCCTTCTTAATCTTGCTGTTACTATTCTACCACTTCTTTACTACAACTGTAGTAGAGTGGCGTCCAGGGAGCTTTCTGGCAGCAGCACCTGGGCAATGCTACCCCAGGTTTTGCTGGGGTAAAGCATCTTCAGAATGTATTATTTGAAGCTCTGCCTCACGTCTTTGCTCCTCTTCTGCTCTTACGGGCAAACTCTTGCCCTGTTTCTATTATTGTAAAGGCCTTTCAGGAAGAGCAAAGGAAATGATTTTTAAAAACAGTCTGATAAAATATGTAACTGCTTAAAAGACACATACGATAAGAAAATCAAACTTTCACTTTTGTTGGCTTTAAATGTATGGCTTTGATTTATGGATCAAAATTTCTCATTTGTTATTTTATCTATACAGCTCTGAGCAATTTTGACAGTTAAAATTTAGTTTTATTGACCAGTGCAGCCACTGTGCCCACGAGGGGACTGGTGCACACAGCCTGCTGCACTCAAGACACAATGAGTTTTGATTCCATGACTGAGTCAGATTGGGAATCATAACGGATGTAACAATAAGTTCCAAATCTCAGTGCCCAAGGCAAGAGGTTTGCCGTAAAACATAATCATGCTGTAAGGCGGGGAGGAGGAGACCCTCGGCTGGAAGAAGTTTGCAAGCACAATTTAATGCGTGGGGACAGGCTGTGAATGTGGGGCATCTAAGGGGGCATTTCAATAAGACCCAGGCCTATGAAGTAAAGATTAGTGTACAAAATGCCTGAAAGGCCAAATGAATGTTAGTGTCAGAGACAATGAGCTAAACAACTATTTTAATGCAAACAAACTTACTAATGCTATTAGCCAACATTTCATTTTTCAATCAACCATAGAAACCTAACTGAAGCACTTTTTGGGGACCATCTCTGTCCTCTTCACCCGGCCTCACCCTCATCCCTTCCAACACACATGGAAACAAACCAGTATAGAGATTCCAGGCAGTTTTAATTGAGGCCTATTTGACTACCAAATTTGCCACCTCTGCAATGTTAATTTAGTCTTTTACTCCAAACCGCCAGTGGTACATAAACATACCTCCTAAGGGTAACAAATCAATAAAATGTCCAATTTGATTAAACATGTTTTTTAATTCATCAAGACAGCTCTAGCCTAAAACAAATAGGTGAGTAAATAAACAAGAACACTCACTTGTGAGTATTTTCCATGTCTTCTTTTCATCATCATAATACTGAACCAAATTGCTGGGGAGCCGGTCCGGTCCAGGAGGCAGCCCTCCGACCAATAACAGCATTTTCTTGTTAGAGCGAATTCTTCACCCAAAACAAAAGAGGAGATGAATAACCACATTATTGTAGAGTCTTTTTAGTGGCGATGAAATCATAACCATCAAAAGAATGTTCCTTGCTTGCAGATTTCTATTTCATTTTTTCCTGTTTCTTCTCCCATTTGTGTCTCAACAGTTTTTTTTTTGAACCAAGCAGAAAAATGATCAGAAGAACTGCATATCTTTATACTCATGAAATAATAAGCTTCCCTTTATGCAATTTGTTAGAGGTTCATTCTAGAACGACCTTTTTCTTATATTATCCCTTTAAATCATCACTCTTTACAGCTGAGTACACATGAAATGCTCTGGAGTTGTACTAAGGTTAAGCATTAAAGTTGCATGTCAAAAATCGTATTAGTCAAAATCATTATTATAAGCCATTCTCCACTCAAAGAACCTTGAAAAAATTAAGGTTATGCAGAGAGTTTGTGAGCCAACTCTTTAATCACCCAGGGAACTTCAAATACCAGTTTGGTACAATTAGTAGCACAGGACTAACTGGGGTGGACTAACCAGTTTTAACATGAATTTTGTTTTTGCTTGTTTAATTTAGCTTCGACTTGTGGCTCCATCCCCTCTCCCCACTCCCAGCTCCTCCTCCCCTCCGCCCTCCCCCTGTGCACCACTGGCAACACAGCAGCGCCAATTGGTAAAAATGAGACCGTGATGTTGTTGTGAGCCTCCCCAGAGTGGAGCCCTGCCAATGCTTGCCACTGATCCAGCGGCATGAACCTGCTCAGCTGTGCAAAGTCACTCTAATTCCCTCCCTCTGTTTTTCTACCTTCTCCCCCAGGGGGCAGCCAGTGAAAGGAGTGACTACCCACCCATCAAGAGCTGGCAATTCGCTGCTATTAACCGTGACTGTGATTCCCAGTCTGCCTGGCAGTTCCTGAGAACAGGCCTGCAATGTCTCATATGCAGTAAAAGCTATAAGATGCACCCTGGCCGCCACACGCGACCTGATGGATGTACCGTCCTCGGGAGCAGTAATGGAGAGAGCACACAGGCCACTGAAGCAGGGAGAGGAGGCCCAGACCCCCACAAGGGGCCTGCTGATTTAACAGTCACTTTACATGTAATTGAACTTCTCATTTACCTGTAAGGCTCAAGGTGGTGGTGGAAGAAATGGAACAACCATGATGGAAGGAAAAAGTCAATAAACAGAAAAAGGTTCCCCTTAAATATGATCACACCCCATTGTGTGGCTCTGAATCTGTTAGTACATATTCAACCCGTTCTGAATCAAGGATGCTTGGCAAAATGAGCCCCGTGGAGATAATGACACTTCCATATGAAGGAAGGGGACAAGAGAATCTCTTTAGTGAAACTCTGGTGCCATTGAATGCATTGTGAAAGCCTCAGTAGAAAAAATACCTTCTGGAGAAACTCCTGTGTTCTTCACTTATCGATAGAGAGCGCTGTACTTACGGAAGAATGGCTAATGCAATAGCAGTTTACTACCACAATTTTGTTACCCTGTGGGTCTAGTTGAGGAAAAAGAGAAACACAAATTCAACTTCTCTAAATTTAATGTACCCTTGAAGTGTTTTTATTTTACAGATCACTAGTTGGTAAGGAAAAACAGAATAAAACAGCAAAGAATCCCAAACATTGAGGACGTCAGTAATTAGAATGGATTTGTGAGAAGGATTAAGGAAAACCAGAGCTGTACACATCTCTTTTATATTTGGGAATAATACACACATAATTTATGTGCCATCTAATTTCATGAATATATGGTCACAGAACTGATATATGGTCGTTTCTTTACTGTAGCTTTTAGTTCAAATAAGCACTCTCTGTGTGTAAGGGAAGTCAAGATGGAAACAGTCTTTTTTAGGTTGCAGCAAGATACTGGGTGTAGCCAGACCTGTTCAACTGTAAGTCATGATTCTGTGGCCATCCCGACATCACACATGCTCATGCTGCCAGACTGTAGATGAGAGAGAAAGAATAACATGGATGGGATAGATGCGGAATTATTGAGGTGGTGCTTATGAGAAAAGCAATATAATCAAATCTCTGCTTTCGTTGATAAACGAATGTACCACTGTAAAATGTGTCTGATGAGTGACAAAAGGAGATAAGTGCATGACTTAAATATGTCTGCAAGGTCATCTGGTGCCTCAGCAAGACCAGCTTTCCTGGACCAAACTCACTGGTGATTTTCCACATGACTCTCTGTGGATGAGAAGAGGATCTAGAATCTTTGTGCTCCCTGCCCATAGTGCAACCATTTCCATCTGTCCTCTAAGAACTGAACTGAGAATTTCAATGCATAAGCTACTGAACAGTTGGCAAATGGTAACGACTTCCACTCTTGCCAACAGTGACATGATTCAAGGGCTAGCTGGACTAGCAACAATGTAAAACAGCACAGAACCAAGACAAACCGCTAGATGACCCGAGTCTCCACAGAGAGTGTGATGAACAATCGCGTGGAGGAAGAAGAAATCTCGCTTATTCTCTTTGGTTGTGTGTTTTCTAACAAGTGGCAGTGCTTTAATCCCATTATGTTCGGCCCTCTTAGTGAGTGGAGATACATTCTAAATCTTTTGCACGGTTATGTTTATACTATCGTTTATTTAATTTGGAGTATTGTGCTGTAAAGTTTGTGTTGTTCAATTTTCTAACACAGCATCAATATGTTAATTCTAAATGAAACTGAAAGCTCTATGTTGTGAGGGTGAACCAAATATGAGCCAAAAATAAAGTATGTGAGAAGTTGCGTGAAATAGAAGAAAGACTGTATAAAGTAGCAGTGTTTTTCTCATCATTTTCCCCTTTGACTCTCAAAACAGGCCAGTGTGGCAAGTCTAACTATATATTTTACAGAGGGTGAGAAAGTTCCCATAGTTGCTATAAGGGAATACACATTTGGGCATTCATTACATAATACGATGAGACTTTCTGGATCCACATAAAAGGATCTAATAGAGACTACTGCACATTTCTTTTTGCTTAAGAATAATGCAAATGAGAAAACTGGTGCATATTTTACTTTCATAAAAATGTAATGTCAACTTTTCAATTACCCCTAGAAAGTAATACATGTGAATACTTCCTGTGGCAAAGCTTTTACATTTTACTATGTGCAATTATAATAGTGACTATGACAATAAGGACAGATAATAATGAATGTCTGTTAGATATGGAACCTATGATTATCATGCCATTTATTTGATGTGTACGAACCTCAATTTGAAAATGCCATGAAGCAAAGATACCTTGCGAATTGGAAAAATAAAATTAAGAGAACCTAAACTAACTGTGTTGAAGGAATTTTCAGTTATTCTTTTCAAAATAATTCAGCAGAGCTTTACAGGTTTAATTTTAGATTAAACAAAAATCTACAAATGTAGTTTTATTGCAACAACATTATATATTTTTTAGAAGCCCTTTATATAGGAAACCAGTGTGATCAAAATTAATGAGTTCACTTGATAGCTTTTGTTATTTTAAAAATATTCCTTTCATTTCTCACTTTAGCACCACTAGGACCAACGTAACATATTACAAAGATAAGAACATAGAGGCATTTAAATAAATAAAAGGTTTGGTGTGTCATAATTGATATTATTTGGATGCCCTTACTTTGAGTCTCTAGATTCTTGCATCCCAAAATACAAGGTGATGGAATTTGAAAGCCTCCTTCGTTCCACTTCAGTAATTGCCCAACATTTACCAAGTGTCACATTTGGGTGTGTGGGCTCGTATGTGCATGCTCACGTGCATGCCTACTTTGGTTCCGGGGATGAATGATTGAAAGATGACCTAAAACCTCTTGGTGTAAACAAATTTTTCATCACACTCGCAGTCTAAGTAGGGCAAAGTCTCATTTATTTGTATGTCAGTGATTTGGAACTGTAATAATTGGGAAACAGGCCAGACAAAGTTACCATTCCCATGATACATGAAAAAAAGTTCTAATTTAGTAGATTGCAAAAAGAGTTTTACCATCTTGAAGAAATGAGCTTGTTTGCAGGGACTTTAGAGATCCTGTATGCACTTAGATAAAATTCACTGAGGGACTCTAAATGATTTTAATTTATTTATAAGAGTAGGTACTCTGCAATGTTCTCAGAATTAAGTCATGCATTTGGAAGAAAATTTTGAAAGAAATTGCTTCAGTGATTTCAGCTCTGGCAAGTTACCAAGATCATCTGAGGGAATTAAAATTTTTAGATTCTTGATGTAGATCTAAGTTCTAAACTCTCAGGAATTGTTATTCAATCTAATCCACAGCGTTCAAGATGATTCTAACACTCAGCCAGACCTGGGACCACTGACTTGGTCCAGTTCTCTGCATAATGCAAAAATCCTTTTAATATTTTTAATGAGTAATCATCCTTGCCCATTTAGAAGTGTGTAACATAATAGATCTTAGTTTTCTAAATCTGCTCTGCTGTTGAAGGTTGTTGGATAGTTGTGTTAGATATATATTTTTCTCCATAGACTGAGTTGCATAATCTACCTAGGTCTTCTAGAGAAAAGAATATGTAGCAGTGGTGGTAACCCTACGGCCTGTGTGTTATTCTGTTTTTCTTTTAAGACAAAAGATGTTAATGTATAAGTTGTTTTCTATAAACTAAAACCTCAGCATTCACGTTAAGTGGACTTTGGGTTACAGTTTGGGCACTTGGTTTCTAAAAGGTTCACCATCATTGCTGTATAGAATGGAGAAATTAAAGTACTGGAGATAATTGCCAGATACCTTCTCTTCTCCATGTTGAAAAAAATCCCCATTTCTTTTTGAAAAGGCTTCCGTTTTCCTTCCCATGCTGGTTACTTCCTTTGAGTATATTCTAGTGTCTGGACTATCACAGTTTCTTTTGAAATTTAGAGGTCAAAACCATATACAATATAACAAATGTGATGTGATAGATGACAAATACTCAAGGCCTCTAAAAATCACAATAGTCTTTTCGCAGTCACAAAGCAGTATTGCGTTCCCATTCAGTTTCTAGATCACTACAAATAAGG